GTGCGGGCGCGCGCCACGTGAGGTGTCACCACAGGGGCCACTCGGAGGGGCGCGAGGCCGGCTGAGGGCGCCGCGGGGCGCGTGGAGGCGGGGCAGGCGAGACGTGGAGGAGCGAGGCGAGGCGCTCCGCGGTCCCTCCGGCAGGACACTGACGCGCCATGGAGCCCGCCAACAGCCAGCGAGCCAACTCTGGAGGGGCAACTGGAGGGGAGGTGCCTCACGCTCGCGCCGGAGAGGGAGAGGGCCATTTATGAGGATAGCGCTCGACGGGTAGCAAAAGAATCCACACTGGGACATGAATCAACACGGCTATTGCTTTATTCAAATGAAAAATATTGATTCAGATATCTCTGACTATTTTTTATCATTAAGGCAGAAAAAGTTACTTAGCCAAATTAGTTTACACATTACTAAACATTAGAATGCTTGAAAAACGAGTGACAGTGTAGGAAACCTGCCTACTAGGGAGAATGGTGACAGGCAAGTGAAGAGGGCGAAATTTCAGCTCATTACTAAAGTTCACCTCTCCTGAACATTTTCTCTCAAAGGACGGAACATTGGCTGCTTCACATAGAACTCCTATTTTTGAGGAACTAGATTAGAAAAATGTACAGGGTGTATTCCAACACACCTTACCAACTTTCAGGATGGATTGGGGGTGCCCAGCCCAGCGGAGTATGGATGCAAACACTTGGGCTCGCAGACGACACCACCATGGCAGGAGGCACGGCTGATCCACCACCAAAGTCAGTAAGGTGGGTAAGGGTTCACCCTGTGTGTGCATTCTTGTCTAAATGAACAAAACCATAATTCATTACAAGATAGGCAGAAAGGAAAGTAGCAATACAGTGTGGGAGATATTTTTTCACAGCCATAAAATCAATGGTATTTTCTCGCGAAAAATCTACAACATATATGTTCAACACATCACAAAAAACGCACACTTCTTGGATTGTCGAATCTGTAGTTTCTTACTGCCGTGATCTGCACAAGAAGTGGGGGGGGGGAATGCCATTGCAAAGCATACACATATTTTTTGAACCATTGAAAAAAAATACAATATCAGTTTTTGCAGCTCATTGGACAAAATCAAAGATAACAAGTACACAGAAAAAATTACACCATTAGTAAAACTTTAGAAAGATGACTATCTTGATTGATTTGTTTGTTACAAAACCAAATTTGCAAACTAAGTACATACCGTAATTGATGATTACAGGCTAAATTAATGAGCATTCCTCTTTCTCACTAGGGTTGTATCTCATATATAAAAGTAAGGTACCTAAAAACATCTACAGTGTAAATAACAATGTGCTACCTCACTTTGTGTTGGCGAATAAGATTCCATATCATATCATAACAAGAGTTAAACTTCTGGTAAAATTTTGGTGGCATGGCTCCTATCTGTTACTAACTCAATGGAGCATTAACATATCTTCCTAAGCAGAAGTTGGATATTTAAAAGGATAGTGTAAGCCAAAACATTGCCAAAAAAATAATTTCTGTAATCCACACCCAATACAATAGACTTTACAATATGGCACACACCAAACAACAATTTGTTTAAATTAAAATGAGATAGTATCCTATGCGTGGTAAATTTTAATCAGACGGGTAAAAGTAAAGTTTAAAAGTGTAGATTATTTGCATGAGGCAAATCAAAATGGGTTTTTAACTCATCTGAAGACCTAGGACATAGGACAAGTCAAGTTAAATTCTTTCTTAAAGTCTCACACAATACGGTTTTGAATTTGAATTGATAAAGATCTCACATATTCTTTCAGCATGAGCAACCACTCTTTTCAGACAGCTCAGACCACAAAACATCTCAGTTTGAACTGAAATTCAGACAAATCCCTGGAAATGACTAGAAGGATCAGACTGATCACAAATGAAACTTAATCCCTCACTTGTGATTTGTTAAATAGAAACCAATAAAAGAAATTAAAAATGTTACTCATTATTTTACAAAAAGAGAATAGCTTTCACACTCTAGACATCAAGTCAAAATTAGAGACAGGTAGTGGGAGCATAAGTATGTCCTCAAATGAAAGATAGAGTTTAGCAAAAATTATAACCATGTGGACATAGAAGAAATCAAAGTCAAAAAGTCAGGTACAAGCAAGACTTAAAAAATGGCACAAAACAATTTGTGACTGAAAAACACAAACAAAAATCTGATTTCTAGAAACTTTCGGAACACATTATAAGACAGTTATATACTCGTAAGATGATTTGAATTATTAGATAGGCTCGAAAAAAAACTAAGAAATCCCACCAAAAAAAATGAGAGCTTTCAACTTATATTAAACCATTACCAAGCAAAATTAAAAAGGTACAGAACAATTTAAATGAAATTCAGTCATTTCTTTTTTTTAACAATCCCACAGTAAGTAGTCACAAGGGAAAAAGTAATACTGGGGAAATATGAGGAAAGTAATGAAATGAAGTTTGAAAAGATAAAACACAAATGGTATCTAAATTTCAAGTTTCAGTTAGCTGCTGAGACCCCTTTTAAAGAAATAATGAAGGCAATTCTAATCTTACCCCAGCACAAGGGCAAGCAGACAGAGAGCTCTAGGCTGGGGTACAGATATCATGATTGTTTGCAAGGAGGAAATTTCTTAACACTAATGCAACTTGTTGTTTTACGTTTTGATTTCCTCTTGCTTGAGTCACTAGTGCTTTCTCCAGATTCTTCTGTTTGATGTGTGTCGGGACTACCATAACCCATTTCATCTGCAACATTCAAATTTTTGAGCATTAGGAAGATTTTCTATTGTTTGGATTGCTTTCCAAAGGGTTACATTTTTCTACCAAAACATACCTGGGTACTTTTTTGGTGATCCTTCCTTACTTCTAATGTTGTTTACAGGCTCCTGCCACTCAAAACCATAGCGTTCAGGATTTTGACCTTCAGCCCACGCTAAAAATTCAAAAACACCGTCAATAAACCTTTAAGAATACTTGCTGATTCTCTGTAGTGATGCCAAGGTGTTGTGGGAAACAAAACAACATGCAGCATTTTGTGACAAGAAAATACCGTACCATTCCTTTCATGTTCAGTGTAATACTGAGGCTGAACAGATGTTGGATCCTCTACGTAATGGTAATCCATAAGATAAGGTAGAACTGTCATATTGTGGAGCTCGTCACCCCGAAGAGGAGGGACAGGGACTTGCTCAAGAGTTTGAGGAGGCTTGCGCCAGAACCACCTAGGATACACAATACATAACCGTTTTTAGTACTTAGTAATATTTTTTTAAATCTTCAAGCTAGCCTTAACACATTTCTATTCATATTAACAAAACAAAAGCAGTACTAACGGATGTTGTCTGATTTGTTGTAAGGTAAATCTCTTAACTGCATCCTTTTGCAGCATTCCATGAAGAAGATCCCGAAGAGGGTTTTCAATTTCATCAGGGATTGTATATTCACCCTTAGCAATGTTTTCAAAGAGCCGGAAGATGTTGTCCCCTTCGAAAGGGTATAGACCTGTGGTGATATTATACCTGAGGGTAGACAATAAAAAATACATAAATGTTTTGAATGCCCCCGGAAGGAAAGACTTGTTTGTGAAAAGTTCAATGCAAGAAAAGTTGAGGTCTCACAATGTAACTCCGCTGCTCCAAATGTCAACTTTAAAGCCTAAAAACTTTTCATGGCCATTTGCTATTTCAGGTGGTTGGAATGCAGGTGAGCCTTGCCCGGTAAAGCAAGTATCATCCTCAGCAAAAAAATCTAATGCCTGAAACAATTTTAGAGATGCCTTTAGCTCAGGGTGATGCCCAGAATAGTAAAATATCAAGCTAAACTAACCTCGGCAACTCCTAAATCAGATATTTTTAATATTCCACTGAGAGTCAGAAGAAGATTTCCTGGTTTAATATCCTTGTGAATTATTCTTTGACTGTGTAGGTACTGCAATCCATCCATAAGTTGACAAAAATACCTATTTGAAAATTAATTTAATAAGACAAATGCTATCATTGGGTACATTATTAAGTACTTGAAAGTGTTCATAAATGAGAATCAATACTAACCCATGGGCTTGCCAAAGTGGAAACCTTTTTTGAGGAGTGCTTTCTAGCATATCTTGTAGTCCACCAACGCAAAATTCCATTACTAAATACATTTTTTCTTTCTCATCGTTAACAAGAACATCTAAAAGACCAATGACATTTCTATGCCGAAGTTTCTTCAGAAGAGTAATCTCCCTGGAATAAGTAATTAATCATGTTAATAAAAATGCACAACTACATTTTGACTTTATTAAGATCAATGACATAAGGTAAGTTTCCCAGCAAGCTCACCTTTGTACATTTTGTTCTCCATTTGGTATCCTCCGCAACTTACGCTTCTTCAAGATTTTCACAGCTCTTCTGCATAGTGTTTCTGAATCTAAAACTTCCTTCACCTTTCCATAACTACCTTCTCCTAAAAGATCACCCATCACATACTTCCCTATCATTTTACAGCGTTTTTTCTTGGCTTCATAAATAATTTGATCCGAGTCCACTCTATGGAAAATGGGAACGTCAGTGTCTTCATCATTGATCCAGCTTGCTGGTTCCAAATCATCAAAAATTCTTGAGCCCCCCTCTTCATCATCCAGGACTTCTTCATCTGAATAGGCTAATACTATATGTTCTTCGGCTCTTTCTGAACCCATGGTGAACCTGGAAAGCATTAAGAGAAATATGTAAAAATATTGTTGATGTCAAGTTTGATTCATTGTACTGAAACAGAGACACAACCTCTAGGCTTTCGCCAGAGTGACAGACAAATATAACACAAATGAAAAGGACAGTCGGTATGAAATAAATTGTGTGAGACTGTGAGTCCAAGAAGTTCACTGGAGTAATAGTTTTAACACAGGGCAAAGGATGTTATAAATTTACCACAAAAAACGCACGACAGTGCAAACAGAATTTACATAACTAGAGTTAAATTCAAGTAAGATACATTGTCGTCAAGATTGACAATGTTGACAGCTCACAGTAGGAAACAAGATTTAGACATTATAAACATAACCTTACCATTGAGGAGTAACCTTAAAATTTTAGCATAATTTAGTAAAGATGTAGCTTATGAACATTTCGAGAAACCTAAATGCATTTAAATTTTCACCATACGAGATGTAAAATTAGACTTCACTTAATCACTCAATAGTGACATTCATCAAAATTACAGTGTAGCTTAAAGAAAATATTCTTCTCCCTCAAAATATCGTGGTGACTGAGGGCAGGATTATGGCCACTGAATTGTTGACAATGCCAACTGCTTTGAGTTCCATTTTGAATCAGTACAACTTGGTACTACCTAAATGTAGCCTTATTCTTAAAACCCAAGGTTCAGTTATATTTTGAAACCAATTATTAGTTTATTTTAAAGTACATTTCCCAGAAATATACCAATTACTTATCAAATACATTGCTAGAATGCTGGCAGCGGTTTGCTTGACGTCATCTAATATTTTCTATCTTTTGTCTTCCTATGTCTTCCGAGTGTTCTAAAGGCTGCTAGCAGACCAAGTATGTAGACAGAGGATAGACAGACAGACAAATGCTAGTCTGCTATGAACTGGCTGCTTGTGTGTGTTGCGTAGTGGACCTAGTAAAAGGAAAAAAAGTACCACATCATGACTAAGTGAAACCTATCAATGGGTTATCGACCTGAAATATGTATCTTAATTTTATTTGAGTTCCGACCATGTTCTAAACATTTTATGTCATTGAATGTATTTTGATACGCGCACCTGTTTTACTGCATTGATACCTTCTGCAAGAAGCATTCCGATAGTATTGACCAATATTGAGGTTTTGCAATAGACTACAACTCTCTTCGAAATGGACAATTTGCGGTTTGTACATTTAATATTCTTTCCTGTTTTTGAACAACAACAAAATAATCACCGAAATATGGAGTGGTTAGAATTACTTACACCCTGCTGTTGTTTTGTGGAAACTTTCACTTGAACACAGAAGTTCATTATTTTGGTCATCAAATAATTTTGTAACAAACTTATAACTTTTAGACAAACACCCAAGTAGCAGAGATTCATCAACAGTTTGTCAAATTGTAATTAGTGTCATCATTGCCAGTTATTCTCCATGAGATTTGAGGAATACGATGTACAGTTGTGATACTCCTCGCTATCTGTTTGACCTCTTGATGGTAAAGAATTAGGATGGAGTGAATAGACCAATGTAATATAGCAATGGAAATGTAATTGTGTATTGATGTATGGTGTTGTCTTATTATGGTGATGAGTTGTAGCTTCTATAATAAAAGTAATTGACTTCGGAGTGAGGAATCACAACAACATATAGTTGCCAACAATTTGATTTATCATTTTCCGCTATGTATTATGATGAAATCAAAACTTACTTATTGTTGTTGTTGCTTACTTATTTTGGTGTTTTATATTTTGCTGTTTGCAGTGTGTACTTAGCAACATGGAATGTGGCCACTCAAGCCCCAGAGGAGGATGTAACAGCACTTCTCGGTTTAAGTAATCGATCATCAAAAGACAGGCTTCCAGATTTATATTTTGTTGGGTATGCTACTCTGTGATTTTGAGGGGGTATTTTAAGTTCCTGTTTTGTTCAGTTTTATTTATGGAACTACTGGTCTCATACAGCTTGCAAGAAGTTAAATCTCAACCGCAAAATATGCTCTTGGACGCTCTCTTTGATGACCCATGGACTAATTCCTTAAGGTTAGTTTTCATTCACATGTTTTTAGCTGTGAGTTAGTAGTAACTTAATTTTCTTACTCTATTGTCATTTTATGAATCGGTTTCTATCTATGTCTCTCACAGGACTGTAATGGCAAAGCACAAGTACATCAAGATTAAAACAGTTCGTTTGCAGGGATTGGTTCTTAATGTATTTTGCCTTGCTCACCACCTTACCCATTTGAGAGATATTCAAACCCAATTCACAAAAACTGGACTAGGAGGAATGTGGGTGAGTTTTAACTATAATTTACACTTAAATATCTAGGTAAGTGGTAATGTCCGTGCTTATCATGACAATTATAATCAAATTATTCTATCTATTTATTCAGGGCAACAAGGGAGCTGTCACAATTCGTTTCAACATATATGGGTGCTCTGTATGTGTTGTCAATGCTCACTTAGCTCCTCATGACCATTTATTGAAGGAACGTATTGCAGATTACAATACCATTGTCAGTTCACAAACGTTCTCTGTGGGTGAGACCACTCGAATCTTTCTACATGAGTAAGTACTTTTGATAATTAATTTAATTGCAGAAAAATACTCTCCAGTAACCTCTCTATTGTTACGTTGGTTTCTTTCATTACAGCTATGTATTTTGGATAGGGGACTTAAATTTCCGTTTGGCTGATCCTAATGTTTTGACTGGAACTGAAATAAAACGTTTAGTTTCCTGTGGTGAACTCAAGTCACTATTGGACAAAGATCAACTTCGTCAAGCCATGGCCCTTGGAACAGCCTTCAGTGAAATGACTGAGCAGATTCCACGGTTTCCCCCAACATACAAGTATCAATTTCATAACTCCACTTATGACTTGAAGTAAGTGTTCAATTTTCAGTCTAAATACTGTTAATGTTTTGGTAAATTTTAATTGATTCTATCCCTTTTGGAAGACGGCGCCCTTCATGGACCGACCGTGTGCTGTATTTTGTGCATAAAAACGTTTATGAAAACATAACACTTCAGGCAGAACAGCTCTCATATACTAGCCTTCCTCAGTATGAACAAAGTGACCATAAACCAGTTGTGTCTGAATTTGTTATCAAGGTACATATCAGATAGCAGTTAATATTTTATTACCTGAATGATTGTAAAATTCTAAGACAGACCCAATGTTTCCAGGTATTCAGTGATTATCATGATAGATTGGTGGGATTCAATCCCATTGGGGACTGGTATCTTGATGAAATGAACAGTGTCTTTTGTAACATTGATGATGATGTAAAAATTTCACCTTGGGATTGGGTTGGTCTATACAAGGTAAATTGAAGGTTTTGAAGGTTCATTTCTATTGTAAAATATTGTTTACATATTTAACTATTGCCCTCTGTTCAAATTATAGGAGGATTTTTCAAGCTTAGATGACTACATTTGCTATGTGTACGTCAGCACTACTCCTCTTTGGATTGAGAACAGTGGAGGGCAATCAAATCAAACAGGAAACACTCTAAAATTGACCTTTCCTGACACTGCCCCTCGTCTTCCTGGGCGCTACCAAGTTGTGTATGTGACTAACAGCCCAGTTTCTGTTTTGGGAATAAGCGCACCATTCCAAGTAAGTGCTTTTAAAACGTAATCTGTCTTATCTAAAATCCACTTAAAACTGCTTGAGACTTTGATTTTTTATTTCTTTAAAGGTTTATTCTCCAAGAGTGCAAACCTTGGATTGGCAACAGTCGTAACATTCAGTTTTGCACCTTGATTTTCTTGCCTCATAAGGTATTAGTTTTCTTTTTGGTCACAAAAGTAACAGTTACCCAGGGATAAACAATCAGTTAAGGAATCTGCTTTATTGCAATATCCTAATATCTATGTATCCGACTAAATGTACCTTTCTCTACGGCTAATTGGCATACTGTTTACTGTTGGACTGGGTACAGTACAATTTCTGGTAGCTTGTATTGTAGCATCTTTTTTATGCATGTTGTAGGTTGTGGTTTAAGGGGAAGAGATGTCTATCTATGTTATGTTACTGCTATCTCAGTAATATTTTTGGGGGACCATCTACTTATTTTAGTGTAAGTTTGCTCTACAGTTTATCCTGGAACAGTGTTGTATTCCAAATGTGATGTAGTTTGTTTTCTTCACAACACTTAAACACATTCTTCAGTACATAGTTGGATTAAAAAAAAAACACACATCTTTTTGATGTAATGAATTTATTAACTGAAGAGCTTCTTTGGCTGAGATAAAATGTATCCTGATTGTGAGATTTTAACCATACTGCATTTATATGTCATGAGTCACTGTTAATATTTTAAACTAAGATATCTATTTTCTTATGCAAAACCTCCCTAGGTAGCATTCCTGTTATTCCTGTCTTTATAATGATGATTTTATTTTGTTGATATCAAGAAATTGTTTGAACACTACTTTTTGTGGTGCATCTCAAAATTTTAGTTCCATGTCATGAGTTCTGTACCTGTTTTGTCGCTATCTGATCTTAGTTGGGGTTTTGTAGGCCTGTTTACAAACGCAAATCCATAATGCTGTATCAAAATCAGTCAGCATAAGTAATAATTAGTTTTAGTTATGGGACTGTTAAACAGCACTGTGCTTTCTACTTATCATCCGTCCATGATGCAAATTGATTTTTGAATTGACCTACTTCAACATTTAAACCACAGCACGTTACCTAGTGAATGTATCATATGGTGCATCAGATTGAAGTAATATTCAATAACAGACCATCACACTGGGTGGCCCACAGACTTCAGAACAATATTTAGCTATACTGCACCGCTTGCAAGCATGTGGACAAGTTGCCTACTCGCTGCATGCGGTACAGTTTAACTAATGTAGATGTTCCGGACAACCTTTATTATGCAATTTGTGTTTTCAAACTTTGCCCCTTTTTTAAAAACGATTACACTTGGCTTTAAAGTGAAGCAAAAACTTAAATTTGCTGTACAGGCCGTTCAAACCCCTTAGAACAAATGTAACACAATTTATTTTATTTTGTACAGTGTAAACTATAAGATCTGTGATATCAAGGAAGTCATTCTAGTGTGAGTTAATTATTGATAAATGTTTATTGCTTTTACAAATAGACTTAACTTGATATAATTTTGAAAGTCATTTGCCTAAATAATATCATTTTTAAATAACTTATCTTGCCTGTATATGTTCAAGAACTCTTATAAAGTTTGTTTGAGGGTCTCAATGCTCCTGTTTGTTGTCAGCTACATGTGTTTGCTTAAAATTTCTACACAGGTGGTGGGTGATGGGGTACAGTTCATTCTACTTTAATTTTGATTCTTGAAATGTGTTTTTGCAATCACTGTGTCACAAACATACAATGTGTAGCTATTTTCAGAAAGAATAGATTTTATGTTATTCCTAATATGAAGCACTTTTTTTCAGTATTAATGTATACATTGGTCTTTTTGTTCTCATCCATGTCACTTGTGCAATAGTCTAGATTTTTAAATATTTAAGTATGCATATGTGATGGTAAAGTAATATATTTTACTGTCTGTACAGTCCAACAAACAAGGATTCGTTAAGAATTGGTCAAATTGAAGTACCCCGAAGTCACTATAAAATTATTTCAAATATTTGAATTTGATGTTATTTTGGGATCAAATTCATTTTAAATTTACAGGATGCCTCTTTGTCAGTATTACATAAATTTGACCTAATTGTGATTTCAAAGTGCTGTCAAATTCATTGATTTGAATTACTCAATAGTTATGTATCAGCAGTAATGTCAGTTAATTTAATTTGACTAATTCTTGACAAATCTCTGTTTGTTGGGAGGCGTGGGCCTACTGAACAATTACCTTTCAACCAAAGGGAGACTTTCTTAAGGTACTTGAAGACTACTTTTAAAAAAACACCTTAGTAAGCTAGCTTGTATTCTTCAATAAGCCTGCTGACTTAGAGATAAGTAGAAAGAATGTTTCATCTTACCTGATTCCTTCATTATTGCCTTTGCTCAAAATAGTCTTATGTTAATGAAGACTTACTTACTTACTCTAGTCTGCTTCTCAGTATGTTCGCCATAATTCACCTCAGCTATTCACCTTCAGTACAACAGTACACGGAGTAACTTTGTCGTGGTATGAATCGCATTGTAGAAAAT